CAATGAATGGAAAACTACTTTCTGCAGTGAACAAGGAAAAAGATCTAGGAATCACAATATCAAACGATTTAAAACCCAGTCAGCATTGCTCAGAGGTAGTTAAAATTGCTAACAGATTGGTCGTCTTTATTGGGCGTACTTTCGAAAATAAATCAGAAAAAGTCATATTAAAACTGCATAATTCACTAGTACGACCTCATCTTGAGTATTGCGTACAGTTTTGGTCCCCATATTACAGAAAGGACATTGACAAACTGGAAAGAGTCCAGCGTAGAATAACAAAAATGATTCCAAGGCTGAAAAATAAACCTTATGAAGAAAGACTCAAAAAATTAAACTTATTCAGCCTAGAAAAACGAAGGATGCGAGGAGATTTAATTGAAATGTTCAAAATAATTAAAGGATTTGATAATATCAATGCAGAAGATTACATTACTTTTGATCGATCAAATATAACAAGAAGACGTCATACTTTTAAGATTACTGGTAAACGATTCACATCAAACGAAGCCAAACATTTCTTTTTCAATCGGATCGTTAACATTTGGAACGCCCTGCCCGCCAATGTCGTTGACAGTAAAACAATTAATACATTCAAAAATAGACTGGACAAATATTTAGAAGCCAATCCGCAACTAAAACACTATTCATTAACGTAGTAAACTTTGAGCAAGTTCCTCGATTCGGAAAGACGTCGCTAGGGGCCTGACATCGCTTGTCAGGAAGTAGTGGTAGTGACAGTAGTGATAGTCTAGTATAATTTAATTCCACGCTTTTTCTTTTTTCTTTTCTTTTCTTTTCTTTTCTTTTTTTAAATTTTTTTACTATCCTGTATCCTTCATCCCAGATTAGATAGTGTAGTTTAGTCTCTATCACAAACAGCCTCGTAAGGGCCAGTAGGCCTGTTGCTGTTTGTTCTTCCTATGTGTTCCTATGTGTTCCTCCTCCTAGGAGTGATGTTAGAGTAGAGGGAATAATGATTTTTTCCCCTCGCCTCCATTTATTTCCCTAGCTTAAATCTCCTTATAATAATAATAATAATAATAATAATAATAATAATAATAATAATAACAATTCATATTATTCTTATTATCATTTATCATTCACCTGTTAATTCATTTTCATTTACCTGTAATTTATCTATCCATTAATTTATTTATTTACCTAAAATTTCACATCTACTGTTTTTTTTTTTACTTTCTTTTTATAATTTTTTTTTCTTTTTTCTTTACTTTTTTTTTTTCCCTCGCCAATTCCACGCGTCATTATCGAAGGACATAACTCAAACTCAAACCAATTCGTGCACCAAAAGAAAACGAGAAAAAGTGTTGCAGTGTTGTAGCAAAAGTAGTAATAGTAGTAGTAGTAGTAGTAGTAATAGTAGTAGTAATAGTAGTAGAAGTAGTAATAGTAATAATAGTAGTAGTAGTAGTAGTAGTAGTAGTAGTAGTAGTAGTAGTAGTAAGAGCAGCAGTAGTAGTAGTAGTAGTAGTAATAGTAGTAGTAGTAGTAGTGTCACCATATTATTATTTTTCATTACTCAAGAAGTTATCAATGATATTTATACTTTAGTTAGACTCAACTTGGAATGAATGATACGATCTGATTCAGTAGTGTTTCTTTATTTATTATATTAATTCATTACATTGGTGTTATATTATCATTTATCATATTAATTCATTACATTGGTGTTACATTGTAGTACATTAGTAGAGGAAGCTGAACAATAATTGTTGGAAGAACGCTGACACTTGTTCCATTGGATCTTGTGTCTCGTCGTTATCCATCAATTCAGCGAGGGTGAAAAACTCAAACAAACCTTCCTTTTCTTCCTCTTCCCTCTCCTCATCCTTTACCATCTGCTCCAGCTGCAGGAACAAAGACAACTCGTCTTGCTCCTCCTTCTCCAGCTGTTCTCCAAGAGCGAGGAACACAGACAACTCGTCCTGTTCCTTCTCTTCCCTCTCTTCATCCTTTACCATCTGTTCCAGTTGCAGGAACAAAGACAACTCGTCTTGCTCCTCCTTCTCCAGCTGTTCTCCAAGAGCGAGGAACAAAGACAACTCGTCCTGTTCCTCCTTCTTCTCTTCGTTCATTTCTTCTTTCTCGTTCATTTCCTTCCGTTCCTCTTTCTCCAGTTTCAACATTTCACCTTTGGTCTGGGGACGGGCTAGTGTGTTCCCTGTCGAGGACTTCTTGGTCCAGATTGGGACGGGGATGCGAGAGGGTTTCTTGCCCTCGAATGTTTTGACAGACGTCGTGTTGTCCCGCTGGACTCTCGCCTCGCATCGCCCGGCGCCGCTAATCCCAAAGTGTGCGACGGGCACTGGGATGCGGGAGCGTGTCTTGCTCTCGCATGTTTTGACGGAGGTCGCGTCCACGAAGCCTGTCTCCTTCTGTGGGCATAGGGCCGGGCGGAGGACAGAGAGTGGTTTGAAGAACCTGAAGTACTCCCGTCCTCGGTACAACTCCCTCTCCTTGATGGTGGAGGTGAGGTTATCGAAGTTGAAACTCACTTTTCTTCGTGGCTTCTTTATCTCTTCCTCCGCGGCTTGGTTTTCTTCCTCGTCCATCTCTTCATCCTTGAACATCTGTTCCAGCTGCAGGAACAAAGACAACTCGTCTTGCTCCTCCTCATCCGTTTCATTACCTTCTTCCTTTTGTTCTTCTTTCTTCTTTTCCATCAAATGTTCCAGTTCGAAAAACGCTGACAAGTTTTCTAGTTGTACTTGAGTCTCTTCGTTATCCAGCTGTTCTTCGAGAGCGAGGAACTCAGACAACTCGTCTTGTTCCTTCTCCTCTTCTTTGTTCATTTCTTCTTTCTCGTTCATTTCTTGCTGTTCCTCTTCCTTCAGTTTCGCCATTTCACCTTTGAGTTGTGTGTTCCATGTCGAGGACTTCCTGGCCGAGATTGAGACGGGGATGCGGGAGGGTTTCTTGCCCTCGAATGTTTTGGTGGAAGTCGCCTTGTTCCCCTCAATCTTGCCCTCACATCGCATCTCAAAGTGTGGGATGGGCACTGGGATGCGGGAATGTGTCTTCTTTACCTCTTTCTTTCTGGTTTGGTTTTCTTGAATCGAATCTTTTTTCTCGTTATCCTTGACCATCTGTTCCAGCTGCTCCTTCTCCTCTTTGTCCATGTTATCACTCTCTTGGATTTCTTTCTGTTCCTTTTCCGGCATTTCATCTTTGAGTTGAGAGCTGATGGCCGAGGACTTCTTGGTCCTGATTGGGACGGGGATACGAGAGGGTTTCTTGCCCTCGAATGTGTTGTCCCGCTGGACTCTCGCCTCGCATCGCCCGGCGCCGCTAATCCCAAAGTGTGCGACGGGCAATGGGATGCGGGAGCGTGTCTTGCCCTCGCATGTTTTTACGGAGGTCGCCTTACCCTGCTTGACTCTCAGCTCGCTGTGTTGGCTTTCTTGAAGCTTGTCTTCTTGCATTTTCACAATCTTATGCAGCTCAAGGAACAAAGACATGTTCTGATTCTTGTCCTTCTCTTCTTCGTCTTTCTCTTCATCCTTCACCATCTGTTCCAGCTGCAAGAACAAACACAGCTCCTCCTCCTCTTCGTCTAAGTATTCTTTCTTTTCCTGCTGTTCTTCTTCCTCTATTTTCGTCATTTCATTTACCTCTTCAATCTGCACTTGTTCTGTGCATTCCTCTTCTTCGTGTACTTCTTCCTTCTTCGTCCTTTCTTGGCCGGCATTCCTTCGGCGTCTAAGTCTCCTGAGACACTTAGGGATGCGGAAGGTAGTTCTCGATACCCTCGCCCCGTCACTACCACTAACACTAGCACCTGGGCATCCACACCCAAACAAACTCGCACAATAGGAACGGAATGATTTAAAACTGGGCATTGTTGTTGAATTATATATCAAATATAGACAGCTAGATTTACTGCGATGGCGAGAATATTGAGGTAGTTTTTTCAACCCTGACTAACTCCAAGCTGAGTCTATTCCTGCCGTAATGAAGATTAAACTAGATTTAACTAGATTTTACTAGATTGAGACATAACTAACTCCAACCTGAGGCAACTCATCCTGACACTGCCCACCGGGAACCACCTTACCGTGTCATAGTAAAGATGTATATGTATATGTGTGTGTGTGTGTGTGTGTGTGTGTGTATATATATATATATATATATATATATATATATATATATATATATATATATATATATATATATATATATAGTTGCTGGTGGTGGTGGTGGTGG